TGGTCCTCACCAGCCCCATAGTGGTCCTACTGGTCGCATACTCGTCCTCATCAGCCCCATACTGGTCCTCACCAACCCCATAATGGTCCTCACCAGCCCCATAGTGGCCCTACTGGTCTCATACTGGTCCTCACCAACCCCATACTGGTCCTCACGAGCCCCATACTGGTCCTCACCAACCCCATAATGGTCCTCACCAGCCCCATAGTGGCCCTACTGGTCTCATACTGGTCCCCACCAACCCCATAGTGGTCCTCACCAACCCCATAATGGTCCTCACCAACCCCATAATGGTCCTCACCGGCCCCATACTGGTCTTCATCAGCCCCATACTGGCCCTACTGGTCTCATACTGGTTCTTCCAGACCCATAATGGTCCTCACCAACCCCATGGTGGTCCCACCAATCCCATACTGGTCCCCACCAACCCCATAATGGTCCCCACCAACCCCATAGTGGCCCTACTGGTCTCATACTGGTCCTCACCCGCCCCATACTGGTCCTCACCAGCCCCATAGTGGTCCTACTGGTCGCATACTCGTCCTCATCAGCCCCATACTGGTCCTCACCAACCCCATAATGGTCCTCACCAGCCCCATAGTGGCCCTACTGGTCTCATACTGGCCCTCACCAACCCCATACTGGTCCCCACCAGCCCCATACTGGTCCTCACCAGCCCCATACCACCACACCCCAACCCCATGGTGGTCCCACCAACCCCATAATGGTCCTGCTAACCCCGTACTGGTCCTCACCACCCCCATTGTGGCCATGTCAACCCCATACTGGTGCCCACCAGCTCCATACTGGTCCTCACCACCCCCATACTGCCACCGCCCAACCCCATGGTGCTCCCACCAACCCCATACTGGTCCTCACCAACCCCATAATGGTCCTCACCAGCCCCATACTGGTCCTCACCAACCCCATAATGGTCCCCACCAGCCCCATAGTGGCCCTACTGGTCTCATACTGGTCCTCACCAACCCCATACTGGTCCTCACCAACCCCATAATGGTCCTCACCAGTCCCATACTGGTCCTCACCAGCCCCATTGTGGTCCCACCAACCCCATAGTGGTCCTACTGGTCTCATACTGGTCCTCACCAGTCCCATACTGGTCCTCACCAGCCCCATAATGGTCCTCACCGGCCCCATAATGGTCTTCACCAGCCCCATAGTGGCCCTACTGGTCTCATACTGGTCCTCACCAACCCCATAATGCTCCTCACCATTCCCATACTGGTCCTGCTAACCCCATACTGGTCCCCGCCAGCTCCATACCACCATCTCCCAACCCCATGGTGGTCCCACCAACCCCATACTGGTCCTCACCAGCCCCATACTGGTCCTCACCACCCCCATACCACCAGCTCCGAACCCCATGGTGGTCCCACCAACCCCATAATGGTCCTCACCAACCCCATAATGGTCCTCACCAGCCCCATACTGGTCCCCACCGGTCCCATACTGGTCCCAACCCAACCCCATGGTGTCCCCCTTCCATCCCCACCATTCCCAGTAACTCCAGTTCTCCCCCCGCAGGCCCTGGGCGCCAGCGCCCCCCGGTGGGAGGCCGTGCCATGGTGTGCCCCGATGGAGCCCAACGCCTTCCCCCACCTCCAGCTCTGGTGCCCCCGTCCCTTCGGCACCTTCTCCCAGAACAAGCCCTGTCCCACCACCGCTCCCACCAGGAGAACCTTCTCCTCCTGCCGCCCGCCCGAAGAACCCACCAATGACCGGGCTCCATCCGAAAACACCCCACCGCCTCCTCCTCCTCCTCTTCCTCCTCCTCCTCCACCTCCCACCGATGCCACCACCACGGCCACCACCACGGCGACGGTGGAAGAAGGTCGGGTGCTGTTGGACACGTGGTACGTCATCAAACCGGGCAACACCAAGGAGAAGGTGGCTTTCTTCGTGGCCCACCAGTGCGGCGGTGGTGGTGGTGGTGGTGGTGGTGGCACCACGGGTGGTGGCACCACCACCATGGGCTTCGGCGCCCGCCCCAGCACCATGAAGGTGAAGGGCAACTGGGGCAACGACAGCTCCAAAGCCAAGCGGCGCCGGCGCTGCCATGACCCCACCAAGAACAAACCCAACCCAACTTGGGTCAACGGTGGCCAAGAACCTACTTGTCCCCCTCAACCCGGTGAACCTCCCGGTGCCACCGAATCCCCCGATTTGCTGTCGGTGGCCGAGATGGTGGCTTTGGTGGAGCAGAGGACGGCGTTGGCCTTGCAGAACTTCCCCAGGTCTTGTGGTGGCACCACCACCACCACCACCACCACCGGTGGTGCCACCACCCCGATGGTCTTCGTGGAGGCATCTGGTGGTGAAACCAAAGCTCCTGGTGGCCCTGACTGTAGCCGGGTGGCCGAAGCCGTTGCCCACTTCGAGTCCCGGCAACGGGAGCACCACCATGGTGGTGGTGGTGGTGATGGTGGTGGTGGTGGTGGCACCTCCAGACCCAACGGATTGTGCCGTCCCGGTGCCGAATGCGCGACGGCGTCGGCGACCACCACGGCAGGCGCCGGGGAGGTCCGCATCGCCTTCCGCATCTCCAGCGCCCGCGAGCCCCGCGCCGGGGCCACCACCGTGGCCACCACCGAAGCCGGAGGAACCACCGGGCGCCCCAACTGCGTCTTCATGAGCTGCGGTGGTGGCGGTGGAGGTGGTGGTGGTGGTGGTGGCCGCGCCAAGGACAAGATCACCTGCGACCTCTACCAACTCATCAGCCCGTCCCGCGACGCTCTACCCAACAACGTTGAGTTCCTCTTGGCCACCGCCGGCGCCAAGGGGGACGGGGACGGCCCCGACGTGGACATGGGCTACGGAGAAGGGACGGTTGGTGGCCCCAAAGCGGACGTTGGGGACAGTGGTGGTGGTGGTGAGGGGACAACGGCGGTCGGGGCACCACGGGACTGCGCCGCCGGCTTCCACGTGGACGTGGTGGTGACGGGGGTGGTGGACCAGTGCGTCTTCTTCGGCAAGGACAGCGCCAAGAAGATGAAGGAGGAGACGGTGAGGTTGCCACCACCGACGACGCAAGAAGATCCACCACCCCCAGGGCAGCTCTTCCTCCTCCCCGTCCCCGAGGAGCCACCGACGGCCACCACCACCACCACCACCACCATGACGAAGGTGGTGGCCGAAGATGGAGAAGTTGTTGGCCAAGAACCGGTGCCGGGGCCCGACCCTTCGCTCTGCCGTTTGTACCGTCACGTCTCCCATGACTTTTTGGAGATCCGCTTCAAGATCCAACGGTTGCTGGAACCCCGGCAGTACATGCTCCTCCTCCCCGAGCACGTCATGGTGAAGATCTTCAGCTACTTGCCCACCCAAGCGCTGGCCGCCCTCAAATGTTCTTGCCACTACTTCAAGTCCATCATCGAGACCTTCGGGGTTCAGGCCACCGATTCCCGGTGGAACCGCGACCCCCTCTACCGCGACGACCCCTGCAAGCAGTGCAAGAAGCACTACGAGAAGGGGGACGTGTCCCTCTGTAGGTGGCACCCCAAACCCTACCACCACGACCTGCCTTACGGCCGATCCTACTGGATGTGCTGCAGAAGACCCGACAAAGAAGCCCCCGGTTGTCGGGTGGGGTTGCACGACAACAATTGGGTCCACCCAACTCCTCCTCGGCGCGACGAAGGCAGGTGAAGGACAGGACAGAGTTGGGGGGACGTTGGGACTTTATGGGACAGATGGAGAAGGGAGGGGGAGAAGGTTTTGGT